AGGGAGTCTCAGAGCGGCTTACAAGCTCCTTTCCCTCCCCCTCCCAACAACAGACACCCTTTGAGTGAGCTCTGACAGAAATTGCTCTTTTTCAAGGACAGCTCTGAGAGAACTAGGGCTTGCCCAAGGTCATCCAGCAGCTGCAAGCGGAGGAGGCGTGGGGAATCGAACCCGGCTCTCCCAGGTTGTCGCCCGCGCACTTAACCCCTGCACCAAACTGGCTCTCGCGCAAAAGGGCTCCGGCCCCGAAGGAGACCTCCTGCTCGGCGGGACTGAGGCCTCGTCCCGAATCTGCAGCAGCCGCCCGCCCGGAAGGATACAGATGCCGACGACGACGGCGCCGATGGCGAGGCCCGTGAGGGCGTTGCGGACCTTCAGCCCCCGGGTGAGCACGACCTGGACGGGCCTCGAAGCAGGTCGAAAGGGAGCCCCGGGAGCCCGCGCCGCCTCCCCCGCCTGCCGGGCGCTGGGCCCGGCCTCCCCCGAGGAGCCGCCGCCGCTACCTCCCTGCGACATCTTGCCTGGCTGGAACTCTCGCGAGAGTCCGGGCGAGGGCGCGGCGGCCGAGACCTGGCGCGACGCGGCCCTGGCGGACGCTCCTCCCGCCATCTTGGGCGAGGGCAAGCGGCCTTGTGGCGCGAGCGAGGCCCGACTCGAGGTAGTTGGTCGCCTCAGGAGAGACGGCGCCGGCCGGGCTGAGGACGACGGAGGAGGAGGAGGAGAGCCCCTGTGTGTGCCCTTCGCATTTTGTACCACTGAGCGGGGTTCCCAACTCCAGCTTGGGGAACTCCCGGAGATTCAGGGGTGGTGCCTGGAGAGCGCAGGAGGCCCCTTAGCCAGGCTCTTGGGGGGCAAATGGGTGTCCAAGCTGTCGACCGTTTTGGACGACAGTTCCCAGCTGCTGCAGGTTCACCACTTCTGCCAGCCTCGGCAGCAATTCTGATCACAAGCCGGGCAGGTGGGGCTGAGGACTTCGACAGTCAAGAAACGGAACAACTCAAAGGAGACCCGTTTCTTGACACAGAGGTAGACGGGGACCTAGAGGTCACTTACTCCAACCCCGTTGCTCAGTGCAGGAATTAGTCAACTACAGCAGCCCACTCTGCTTAAAGGAGCGGACGACTTAAAAAAAGTCTCAAAATGATTGTAAACGGGAGAAATTCTTGTGGGGCTGTGTCTTTAAGAAAGGGGACAAAGCCCCACCGTAGCCACAGGCCTAAAGTGCAGAGTTTGTGGAAGGAGCTCTGTGCCTTCTGACCTCAAATCTCCAGGAATTTCCCAAGCTGGAGTTGGCAACCCCTGATGCCCTCCAGAGGTTCCCAAACTTATTTGGCCTACCACCCCCTTTTCAGAAAAAAAAATTACTCAACACCCCCCTGGACATCTACCTTCCAGAAGTGGACAAAAAGATGCAGTTTGTGGATCTGCACCTGGGTTGGTCCAGCCCACCTGGATCATTCCAGCACCCCTAAGGGGGCGGTATTGCCCACTTTATTTATACCCCACCCTCCCTGCAAAGCAGGGGCAGCTTCCAACAACTTTGGGAACCAGTGCTAGGCAATCCTTTGGAGTTGATGAGGTCAGGTGTTGCTGGGATGGAAGGTCTGCTGGGGCGCAGGCCTCCCCCCCACTATCTGCAGAAGTGTGCATGCCCACAAAAGCCAGAATTAAACAGTGCTGGTCTTAAAGGTGCCACTCTGGACTCCAGCCTTGCTCCCTGGGAAGCAGTTCTTCTACGTTTTGCATACCCCTCACATACAACAGCAATGACAGCGGATGGTGGGCTTGAGGAAGGATGCAAGTAAACATGGGGGGGAGGAGGAGGAAGCTGCAACTACCAGGCAAACTAAGCCAAACCAGGAAAGGTTGCAAAGCAAAAGTATAAACAAAAACCAAGTCCATTCTACAAAATCAGTATAATCCAAACAAATGGGAATACCGTTTAATAAATAAACATAACAATAATTTGCAGAACATTCCTATTGTAAAGAATTATTGTAAGCTGCCTTGAACTATGAAGATAGACGGGGTATACATATTTAAAAAATAAAGAAATAAAGGACCAAGCGCATTTTAATGTATTGCCTTTGTCAGTGGGCTTTTTACAAAATTTTATAAATGCTACTATCCCACTACACATAGAATTAAAATATCAGAAATTCAAATAAAATCTCAATGTTATTTACCCAAAGAACATGCCTTTTAGGGTCCTTTATGAGAAAAACCAATTTATTTATTTATTTTAGAAAATTCATACCCACCCTTCCTGCTCTCATAAGGTCCACAAAGGCAGCTAAAAATGAAAACATACATCATAAAACCCACGAGGTTCTTACAAATTTGCAGGCATGTCCTTTTACTAGTAATCTTGTTGAGTTAATTTTAAACGGAAACTCCAGACTGGGTTTTATCAGGATATATTACCCACTGATATATTACCCACAGTCAATGCTCCCTCTAAACTGTGGAGTCTTGTGAGCAAAAATTCTACATTGTGAACTAATGGCATTAAAGTTGTGAGCGAGCGATTTGGCTACTGCATAAATTAGTTTGCTCTGGAGGCATCCCTTCTTGAGTGAAGACAAAAATGTGTGAGCCAGAGGCTAGAAAACTGTGAGCTAGCTCACAGTAACTCAGCTTAGAGGGAACACTGCCCACAGTGTAATCATTTCAGCTGTGCTCCTGCAGAGTGCAGGGGGTTGGACTAGGTGACCTGGAAGGTCCCTTCCAACTCTAACACTATGATTCTATGATTAGTCTGGGGTCATGGGAAAAGAATGACAGGCTGGTCATGGCTGAATAACCTCTTTTTTAAAAAAAATATCTTTAAATTTATATCCCGCCCTCCCTGAAGGCTCAGGGCGGCTCACAAGGGGCACGAATGCCCAAGTTAAAACATTAAAACAGTACAGAATAATATAAAATACAATAACTACAGTTCACTAAAATTTACTCTTGACATTTATTTTGTAAAGGGAACTCCTGATGAAGATTAATTAGTAATTAATTATCGTATGGCAGTGTGTGTTGCATAGCCAGGAGGCCCGAGGATGGTCTGGCAGCCGAAGTTCTGACTCTTTTAGGTGAACTAGACTCGTTGATGACTGAGCCAGAGAGAGCTCTGAGAGCTGTGACTGAGCCAGGGTCACCTAGCTGACGTCATGTGGAGGAGGAGTGGGGAGTCAAACCCTGTTCTCTCCATTAGCGTCCTACTGCTCTTGGGGGGGGGGGCATTTTGGATTTGTGTGTCTGCCCATGCCTGGACGTTATGGCGACTCCTACTGGGGCACAGAGGACATTCAGAGAAGTGGTCTCCTGCCCCTGGTATTCTCTGGAGGTCTCATACTGGCCAGGGTCGGCCCTGCTTAGCTTCCAAGATCGGACCAGATCGGGCTTGCCTGGGCTATCCAGGTCAGGGCAGAGTCCTGCTGCTCTTAACCACGACACCAAACGGGCTCCCTTCTGATGCAGATAATATGTTGAAACGGATTTGGTCTTTTACAGTTGGCAGTAGGAAAATTCTGTGGATTATAAGTATGGTTATCTTTTAAAGGATATTTAATTTGTTTCAGTTGTATAGTATTGTCATTTCGGGGGGAGAACGCGGCATCGTGCTGTCGTTTCTTGCCATTCGAGGTGCCGGAAGCACTCTTGAGATGGGTTTGCCAGCACAGGTGGTGGCCAGGTACCAACACTCAGAGCCTGTCTTTGGGGCGGTGGCCCCAGAGCTCCTTCAAGATGTTCTGCTGCAAATGGCCAAGGAGAATGAACAGGATTTACGAGAGCTGTGTGACGAGACGGGCTGCTTCAAGGAGACACAGATAGTGGGTGAGAGCAGATCTTGGCAACGTCTTCAGCTGGAAGAGCCTTTGGTTATTATGAGTCCCGGGATTCTCCATTTCTCTCTCTCTTTTTTGTTACTAGATTTTGTGTTTCTTTTGTCTGAAAAATGGGGCCTGCCTGAATTTGCAAGATACCAAGCGATTGAAATATTTGAAAGGTAATTTGTTTTCTGCCTTCCTTGGGTGGTGATGGACTATCCAGGCTATCTGAAAGATAACCTTGAACCTCTAATTTAGCCTTCTGTGTCATCCCTGAGCTGACAGATCTTAATTTAAGCTAAGTCATCAGCCTTAAAACCAGGGGTCATTTCCTGCAGGAGCGCACAGGAGAGGAGCTCCGGCAGTAAGGAACCCAGGGGGTGTGGCACATGCAGCAAGCCCCGCCCCCTGCTCCTAGCAGCCCTCAGTCGGGCCACAAGGAGCAAGAAGCAACCAGGGAAGTTGCAGAGGCCCCCCCCGCCTTCAGGTACAAGCTCTCCTTCCTCTGTGAGGACAGATCCGCACGTTCTCCCCCCCCAATAGCTAGCAATCCAAAACAGTCCAGTGGAGCCTGAGCAGTGGGTGTTGCCTTCTGACGCACTTGCGGTGATGTCAGGGGGAGTGGCATATGCAAACAAGTTATGCTAATGAGCTCCTGCACCTCTTTTTCTACGACATGACCCCTGCTTAAAACAAGACCCTTTGTACCATGAGGTTTTTTCCTCCCTTTTTGAAACGAATGAAACTGGCTACCTCCAGCAGTGTGAGCTTAGTAGCAGCTATCAGTTTAGAGACAGAAAACAAAAAATCTAGTGGCGCATTGAAGGCTGACAACATTTATTTGAATCAGGGCTTTTGTGGGTATTTTGCCGTGACAGACTAACACAGCCACCCCTTCCCAGTTATCAGTTGAGAGAGCAGAGAAAGTCTACAGTGACAGAGCCTGCTGCTGATAGCCCAGAGATGTAATACTGTGAGGGGAAAAACAAACCTGGTTTCCCCTACAGCTTCAACATTTTCAAGTGTTTCTAGGGAACTACCCTTCTCCAGTGTTCTGGCTATTCAATGCGTTGACCTTGTCAGAGGGCCTTGCAATTTTCTTCGAAGGCCCCCCTCCTGCTCCCTGTGAGCAAGCTACTCTGAAACGACCTGCTTTCTTTTCTCCAGGTGAGCTTTCTCTGTTTGTACCTTTCAGGTTCATGCTCACACTTACTCAGCAGTTCTCCTTTTCCACTGGAGCAGAGCAGGAAGAAAGCAACTGTGTCTTGGCGAGACAGCAGATTGTCGACACATGTGTGCTGCGCTTGGTCTCCTGCATCCAGCTAGCCAGCAAACTTTCCTTCCACTACAGCGTAAGGCAATTCAAAACTTACCCTGCCCTCCTATCTACCATAGAAGCTTTGTTCTCAGTACATGCTATGTCCTGATATATTCTGTGGTAAAAAAATAAGGAAACCAGAGTGATTGTCTGCAAGGCAACAGGTAGTCTGCAAATCAATTTTCAGAATGTATTTATTTATTTATATTTATATCCCGCCCTCCCTGAAGGCTCAGGGCGGCTCACAAGGGGCATAAATGCCGAGGTTAAAACAGTACAAAACAGTATAAAATACAATAAATACAATTCACTAAAATTTACTTTCACGGTGCTCAAAGGATATTTAACTATAGAATTCAAGATGGGGTTCCAAGATAATTTATGCTATACAGTGACAACAATATACGTCCCTACAGCGCTGTCATCTGCCAGGAATGTCTCACGCCCCCGGTATTGTCCGCTCCAGAGATGGTCAATTTGCGGGATTAAGAAGGAAGGGGGCGCAGATGGAATAATGATGGCGGATGATGGTGGATGATGGTGGCGGCGGCTCCTACTCGAAAGCCTGGTGGAAGAGCTCCATTTTACAGGCCCTGCGGAACTGAACCAGGTCCCGCAGGGCCCGGATCTCTTCTGGGAGCTCATTCCACCAGGTAGGAGCCGCCACCGAAAACGCCCTGGCCCTGGTAACCGCAAACATGATGTTCCTGGGGCCTCGAATATCCAGGACAATGTTCCCTCTAAGCTATCGAGTCTTGTGAGCAAAAATTCTACTTTGTGAGCGACTGGCATTAAAGTTGTGAGCAGGTAATTTGGCTACTGCATAAATTAGTTTGCTCTGGAGCCCATCCCTCCTGCACTCAGACAAAAAGGTGTGAGCCGGGGGCTAAAAAACTGTGAGCTAGCTCACACTACTTCAGCTTAGAGGGAACACTGATCCAGGAAATTTTGATTCCCCGACCATAGTGCCCTTGGGGGAACATGCGGGGAGAGGCGGTCCCTTAGGTAGGCCGGACCCTGACCATATAGGGCTTTAAAGGTTAAAACCAGCACGTTGAAGCAAATCCGGTACGCCATTGGCAGCCAGTGCCGCGCTTTCAGCACAGGCCGGATGTGATCCCGTCTTGTGAGACCCATCAACAGCCTGCCTGCAACATTCTGCACTAGCTGCAGCTTCTGAATTTGCGACAAAGGTGACCGTTGCATGGATCACTGTAGCCAGGTCATCTCTGTCGAGGAAAGGAACCAACCGCCGCGCCAGCCGAAGATGGTAAAAGGCCGACTTGGCAGTGGCTGCCACCTGGGCCTCCATCGTTAAGGCGGAGCCCAGCAGCACACCCAAACTCCTAACCTCCGACGCTGGCACCAAAGGCGCCCCGTCGGGGAGGGAGCCCCAACCCCGAACTGATCCGACTCAGGCCCAGGACCTCCATCTTTGCCGGGTTGGGTTGGGTTGGGCTGTCATCAATATGCGGATGATACCCAGCTCTAACTGTTGATGGATGGCCAGCTGGACTCTGCCCCAGACATTTTGGATACCATGGCTGGATGGTTGCAGCGGAGCCAGCTGAATCTGATGAAGTCGGAGGTCCTGTACCTGAGTCGTGGGGGACTGGGCTCAGGAATCAGGTTCCTGGTCTTTGGCGAGGCACTACTGGTGCCAGCAGCTAGGGTCAGGAGTCTCGGGGTGATGCTGGATTCCTCGCTCCCTATGGAGGCCCGCCCAGGCCCCTTTGGCTGCCAGATCGGCCTGCTATTGTCTTTGGCTAACCCGGCAACTGGTTCCCTATCTCACCTCCCAGGACTTCGCTACAGCGATCCACTCAATGTTCATTTCCACTTCGGATGACTGCAACTTGCTCTGTGCAGGGCTACCCTTGAGCCTCATTCGGAAATTGCGGCTAGTGCAGAAAGCAGTGGCACACCTGCTGACAGCAACGCCTCCACAGGCGCATATTCAGCCAGTGTTGCACAGACTGCACTGGCTGCCAATCAAATACTGGATCGGATTCAAGGTTACGGCCTTGACCTTTGAAGCCCAATGCAGCACAGGACCCTCATACCTGCGGGACCACCTCTCCCCATATGAGCCCTGGAGAGCTTTACGCTCTTCTGACCAGAACTCCTGGTGCTCCCCAGCCCGAGGGATGTCCACTTAGCCTCAGCCAGGTCAAGGGCTTTTTCAGCCCTGGCCCCAACCTGGTGGAACGTGCTCCCACTCGAGATCAGGCCTCTGTGGGACTTACTACAGTTCTGCAGGGCCTGTAAGATGGAGCTGTTCCACCAGGCTTTCGGTGGAGGACGTCCAGCCATTCTGGCCTCTCTGTTCGTGGCCCTTTCCCAGTGCACTGCTGCTCTGTATACTATTTGGGCACTGGAGTTTCCTGGGGTACCTATTTCTGCCTGACATAAGGCATGGGTTTTTGTTGCTGTCTGTTGTGCCATCGATTGTTTTATGGGTTTTGTTGTTACAGGTTTTATATTGTAAGCCACCCTGAGCCCACCTGTGGGATACGGCAGGGTATAAATAAAATAAATAAATAAATGGCCTTTTCTCACCACACTGGAGAGCCAGTGTAGCATAGTGGACTCTAATCTGTAGAACTGGGTTGGATTCTCCACTATTTATTTTATTTTATTTATTTATTTTTTGATTTATATCCCGTCCTCCCCGAAGGCTCAGGGCCCATGGCCCCAACCTGGTGGAACGTGCTCCCACTCGAGATCAGGCCTCTGTGGGACTTACTACAGTTCTGCAGGGCCTGTAAGATGGAGCTGTTCCACCAGGCTTGCGGTGGAGGACGTCCAGCCATTCTGGCCTCTCTGTTCGTGGCCCTTTCCCAGTGCACTGCTGCTCTGTATACTATTTGGGCACTGGAGTTTCCTGGGGTACCTATTTCTGCCTGACATAAGGCATGGGTGGTGGAATTATAGTGGCGGCGGCTCCTACTCGAAAGCCTAGCGGAAGAGCCCCGTCTTACAGGCCCTGCGGAACTGAGAAAGGTCCCGCAGGGCCCGGATCTCCTCCCGGAGCTCCTTCCACCAGGTAGGAGCCGCCACCGAAAATGCCCTGGCTCTAGTAACAGCAAATTTCACATCCCTGGGGCCTGGAATTTCCAGGAGACGTTGACTCCCCGACCGAAGTGCCCTCCTCCACATGAGGCCAGCTGGGTGACCCTGGGTCAGTCACAGTTCTCTCAGCCCTCCCTCTGCCTCACAGAGTGTCTGTTGTGGGGAGAGGAAGGCAAGGCAATTGTAAGCCACTTTGAGACTCCTTTGGGTAGAGGAAAGTGGGGTGTAGAAACCAACTCTTCTTTGTCCATCCTGAACCTCCTGCCCATCAGCTTCATGGGATGTCCTCAAGTTCTAGCATTTTGGGAACGGGAGATAAAAGTTATCTTTGTCAGCTCTCTCCACCCCGTGCTTTTTTATCAGTTTACCAGTACTTGTTTTTATAAGTTTTAGTTTTTGTTCCTATAGTATGATCTGCTACTGTGAGGTAACACTGGATTTTTAAATCTATACCAAGCAGCAACAGAAGCCCAGTTCGTGATGGAGGCGAACAAGCAAACCAAGTTGTCATCTGGAGGGTCATTTGCTCCTTTCTGTCTTCATGCAGATAGTCAACAACGCTGTGGTCCTGAAGTTCCTGCAGTCTATGGGCTTCTCCTATACTACCGAGGACTTGCTGGAATCAGAACTGGGTATTCTGAAGGCTCTGCATTTCCAGATCAATGTTCCGACCCCTTTAGCTTACATTGAGATGCTTTTGGAGGTTTTAGGTAAGGGCCAGGGACACGGTTCACTCCTGGGTGAGCTTTGGGGAAATGTTACCTTTTCCTGAGCAGCGTTGGCAGAGACCCTCAATCTTGCCCAGTCTGTCAGCTCTTTTAGAATTTTAAGAAAGGATAGTGGGCTCTGTGAAGGTCAGGGTTTTAAATGCTGGTTCTGTAGAGGCAGGGTGTTGCGCAGTTCAACCAGGGGGGTCTGTACCCCAACCTTGTACTGACAGACTGAACCCAAGTGGCCTTCTAAATGCAGTTCTTCCATATCAGACATCAGGGCAACAGGATTAAAAAATAACTTTTATTCATTGATAGGGTAAATAAGGAGGTTCAGTAACAAGGCTTAAAACGATTTACAGATAACACACAGCTTTTGCTGGGCTGAACAGAGGGTAATGTTTTAGTGTCAACTCCTGGGTGCACAGAACAGTTAACAGCCAAGCTTTTATCCTTGAGGTAAAGATTGGCCTTCCCTGAACCTCAGGATCCTCATGGTACGAATGTGAGCTCCCCAGAAACCCCAAATCATTAGCCATTTCCCCTCAAGCTTTAAGGCAGCCACAGTTTTTCCCTGATGTTCACTGTGCTGGCCTTACCATCTGTCAGAGGCACCACCCCCAAATGGCTGCAGCGGGGAGCAGTCACCAATTGTTGGGAAGCCTCAAGCCAAGCATCCAGGGCCAGCTCCAGCTTATTTTACCCCCTAGGCGAGGATCCCTTCTGCGCCCTCTTATGTTCTTATGTTCTTAAATCATTAGCCATTTTCCCTCAAGCTTTAAGGCAGCCACAGTTTTCCCCTCAGACATTCACTGTGCTGGCCTTACCATCTGTCAGAGGCACCACCCCAAAATGGCTGCAGCGGGGAGCAGTCACCAATTGTTGGGAAGCCTCAAGCCAAGCACCTTCCTACGATGGAAGCAGCTGCTTCCAAATGGGCGTGGCTTGCAGACACGAAGGGGATTCCCCCTGGGGTTCTTCGGTTTATTTCTGTACATCATTTATAGTCTGCCTTTCTCACTGAGACTCAAGGTGGATGACACAGGTTTGGATTGCAGAAATCTGGAACCAACCAGAAATCTGAAAGCAGAACTGAAGCAAAGCATAAGTCTTAACGTGACACATGAAACAGTGCAAAACTTACAGCAACAGGCAGCATAGACCACAGTCCCTAACCCTTTGCCTAAGTGTCTCTCTGAACCATTTTTGTTCCCTATAGCCCCATTACTTAGAAAAGCCCTCTTGAATAATCCAGGTTTGCATAATTGGACAAAGCCAGGACACTTGGTGCCTTCCCATGGACCATTTCATAACTCGGGAGCCACAATGTAAAAAGCAGGAGGACTGGCAGTCACTGATTCTGCCCATTTGCAGACTGGCCCTGTTGAAGGCCCTGCTCCAGTGAACAAAGCTGTCATGGCAAAGCATAGGAGGGCAGGTGGCCCTGGAGACATGAGGGACAGAGGCCATGAAGGGCTGTTACGCAAGAGCCAGTATCTTGAATTGAGCCTGGTAACTGATGGACCGCCAACGGAGTGACTGCAGGACAGTTTATGTGCACACTCTGCCTACCTCCCGATAATAACCAAGCTGCAGCATTCTGCACCAACTGGAGTCTTCACGTTCAGTTCAAGGGGAGACCTATGTAGAGTGCATTTGAATAGTCTAGTCTTGACAATACCGTGGTGTGGATCCAGGCATCCCAATCAGCTGTGTCAAGGTAGGGGGCTATCTTGTAGGCTACACTGTGTGCGAAGAAAGCAGGGGTTCTTTTTGCAGGTGTGTTAACTTGCTTCTCCAGCAGCAATGCTTCATTCAGTATAACCCCTATGCTCTTAACCAAGTCAGCAAGGTTGAGCTGAACCCCATCAAAAGGTGAGAGCATAGCGTCCTCCAAGAGTATTGTGTACTGGAATATTGTGTGCAGTTCCAGTGGCCTCCCTTCAAAAAGGATGTGGACAGAATGGTGCAGGTGCAGAGGAGAGCAATGAGGTTGAGAGGGGACATGACCGTTCTCTTGGAGTATTTGAAGGGCTCACTTAGAGGAGGGCAGGGAGCTGTTCCCGTTGGCAGCAGAGGAGAGGACTCACAATCATGGGTTTAAATTAAGGGCAGGAAGGTACCGGCTGGATCTCAGGGAAAACTTTTTGACTGTCAGAGTTGTGCCACGGTGGCGTCAGCAGCCTCGGGAGGTGGTGAGCTCCCCCTCACTGGCAGTCTTTAAGCAGCGGCTGGACAAACCCTTGTCAGGGATGCTCTAGGCTGATCCTGCACTGAGCAGGAGTTGGACTAGATGGCCTGTCTGGCCCCTTCCAGCTCTCTGAGTCTATGATTCTATCTGCACCTACCCAGCCAGCATTACTTCTGTCTTTCCAGGGTTTCGTTTCAGTTTGTTCACTCTTAGCCCATTAACCACAACAGCCAGGCAGCAATTCACTACCTCTACTTTATCACCAAGAGATCTGGATAAGGAACTGGGTATCAGCGATCATATCGAATACAGCCAACACTCAGACTACCAAATGATTTGTCCTAAGGGCTTTACATAGAGACTGAAAAGCATGTGGAATAGGCTTGTGCCCTGTGGAACCCCACAGGATAAATCCCAGATCGAAGAAAACTGGTCTCCAATTTGAGTCCAAACCTTTGAGTCCAATCTATGCCAAATGACTCAATCCAGTCCAACATACTTCTGTGTCGGCTTTGCTGCCATGGGGGTGGAGAGGTCACTTGTATTATAATTGCCAGTGCATTCCTTCTGTGCTTCTTTGCTGCTGTAACGCTTATCTATAAGTTCTGCAGGTGGTGATGTTGATGTCTGGGTTTCTCGGGAACCGGGGGAGAGAGTTTGGTTCCCAGCTTCAGTGCTAAATGGCCGGAGCTTTCTCCCGCGCGCGGGAGGGTGGCTAATTGGCCAGGGCAGTGTGTGTGTGTGTGCATATGAATACCCTATATCCTATTATGCCCCATGGGCAGCCGCCATTCTTAACAGTGCCTATGTTAATGCATCTATAGCTCTTCAATAAAGTATTACCTTTCCTGAGAAGCGTGTACTACGTTGTTGGCTGTGGGCTCTGACATTCCGCCTCATAGCACCTCCTGCACCAAGAAGAAGTTTCAAACCTTGGATTTGTAACTTGCCTAGGATGAGCTCAGTGTTTCTTCAGCAAGACAGCTTGTAGGAAGTGAGCTGAAGATGCTTTTCCTGTGGAAACCCCTGGGCACCGAACGGGGTGTGTGTGTGTGTGATTGCTTTACTGGATTGAGGTTGGGTGGGTTTTTTTGTACAAATCATCGAAAGGATAAGGCGAACACCGCAGTCAGTTGGCCTAGAACAGTGTAACTCTGGTTTGGATTGCATTTTAAGTGGTAGAAACGGGGAAACAAATTTTACAGTACTTTGCAGACGTTGGGTGGGAAGAACAGAACAAGAACTAGAAGTATCTCAGCTTGGGCTATGATTTGAAGGTCCTCTGGGCTCCAGGTAGAAATCTTGCTGCCACTTTTGAAGAAGCGTCTACTGCTTTCTGTTTTTCCATGTTGACAGGGTATAACGGCTGCTTACTTCCCATGGAACAGATGCATGCCATGTGCCGACATCTGCTGTCTTTAACATACCTCCTGCGCGTCAGCGTCTACAGTACCCTGCTGAAGGCTTCAATTGAAAACACATCACCAAATAAACTCCAGCTGTAAGTTTTTTAAAAAGCACTATTTATGCTAAAGACATAAAGAAATAACTTTGGGTTGGGGTGTGTGGAGAAGAGAGAAGAGACCAGACCTAAGAGTTATTGTTCACGGTAGCATTAAATGGAGAAAGCACTTTGCTAACCAAGAAAATCTGAGTCACTTTTCTGCACAGCACCCCGTAACAGAAGTCTCTTTGTAAGCACGACACTTGGGCTGGAGCCTGGTTCCAAGGCTATAGTCGGACACTGAAGCGTTGGCAGAAACTAAGTCTGCACAGGAGGACTCCACCTAGTGTCTTTTAGCCTGCATGTAGACAGCCCTCATGGAGAGAGTCTCCAGCACTGTGCTGGGCCTCTTTTGAGCTGCTTTATAGAATTATGCATTTCAAAAACCAAGCTGTACAGATCACAGAAAGAAAGCCATACATCACCTTACTAAAGGATCACGTTACTAGATCCATTACATTTCTAAGCTGTCCTTGTGGATTTCATAGAATCATAGAATGTTAAGAGTTGGAAGGGACCTTGCAGGTCATCTAGTCCAACCCCCTGCACTCTGCAGGAGCATAGCCGAAAGATGGTCGTCCAGCCTCCGCTTGAAAATGTCCAGCGAAGGAGCATCCACCACCTCCCCAGGCAGTCTGTTCCACTGCTCAACCACTCTTACAGTTAGAAAGTTGCTCCTGATAGTTAGCCGCTAACGATTCCCTTGTAATTTCCACCCATTAGATCTAGTCCTGCAATCTGGAGCAAGAGAGAATAGATCTGCTCCATCTTCTACATGACAGCCCTTCAAATACTTGAGGACTGCAATCATGTCCCCTCTAAGCCTTCTCTTTCCCAGGCTAAACATACCCAACTCTTTCAGCCTTTCCTCATAAGACTTGGATTCCAACCCTCTCACCATCCTGGTTGCCCTCTTCCGGACACGCTCGAGCTTGTCAACATCCTTCCTAAAATGTGGTGAGGCCTGACCATAGCAGAATAGAGCAGAACGACCACCTCCCGTGATTGGGACACAATGCTTCTGTGAATGCATCCTAAGACAAAAAGGACTTCTTCCACTTAATCAGTTTATAGCATAAAAACATGATGCGCTGGTCAAACAAGCCCATCACGTAAGCCAATTTGTTGTTACAAGGCCTGAAAAAAAACAGTTCTGCATTGTAATACACCATGGCTGGACAAATGCAACCCCCTGACTTTGGGAACTGGAGCCCTCCTGTGAGGAATGGGGCTGCACTGCTGCGGTGGGCACTTCTAGCCAATGACTCGCTTACTGTTCTCCCCCACCTGCCAGTGATTTACAGCCCGTAGGCCTTTTATGCCTTAGTTCCTAAAGTACTCCTTGCAGTAATTTAAGGGGGGGGGATTACCGGACAGTAGCAAGGATACCCTCTCTCCCCCCCAGGGATGCCTCCGATATCTCAAACTAGTCATTTGCTTCCTCTGCCTGGTGCTGTGGGGCAGATCCAGTGGTGGAGTGCCAGAGAGGCTTTTTCCAATTCATTCTGGCTAGACAGGATATATTAGTACTGCCACCAGGCCCCAAGGCATAATACAAGGGCAAAAAGCTGGGTTTCTTTGCTGTTGTGGAGATCTCTCAATTCCAGAAGGGTATGGGCAGTGGGCTGATTATTCCAATCCCCTAGAATATGCATTAATTCCTGTAGGCCGAAGCTGCAAAGACGGTATGCAAGAAAGGCAGTTTAGAAAACAGAGCTGAAATTGCCATGTAGTGACTTTTTAAAAACAAACAAACCTCCATTATTAAACCTCTGCTCTCTCGGTGCTTGGTAATATCTGCTATAAGCATGGTTCTGGCTTGCAAAGGAGGTCTGGAAAATCGATGTTCCGATAACAGATGTTAGCCCAGTAATCCAACTCTTTTGCCCAAGTTAACTCGATGCTGAAGTGTATTCACTTACATGTTATGATTTACAACGTACCCTTACCCTGGCTGGAAATTGAAAGCAGGCCTTTCACACCATTTCAAATGTACAGAGCCAAGTTTGCGGCAGTGAAAGAAGATCTGATGCTGTTGGCGGTGGGAATCATCGGAGCCAGCGCTTTTCTGTTCCACACCGAGGACTGGAACCAGGTAACTGGGGTCACAAAATAGACACCGGAACATCTCCCTGCCCTTAAGCACCCCCGTAGATTGTCTTACCCTTCCCCCCACCTCTTTTGAAAGGTTGCAGAGAACCTCAGCGACACCACCGGCATCAGCATGCGAAGCATTGTCGAGATAGTCGATGCAATCTTGAAGCACAGCATTGGCCATGCTGTGGACGATGGCTAAAAGGCCCCAACTGCCAGTGTTCTGCCATCTCTCACATGCTCATTTATTAAAGCATTTATATCACACACCTTTCCTCGTGGCTCTGGGCAGCTTACAATAATAATTAAAAACATGGGTTCCTCAAAGCCTGGGTATGTTCAGAACACACAAGAGGTAGGGGGGGCTAGATGCAGTGTTAATAGGAACCGGACAGATTTTTGCTTTGCTGCCTACTGTAAGCATCTGAAACGGGGCAAGGAAGAAAAATATTACCAAAGAAATGGACCTCTGCCCCACGCCTTACACCTGAGGCAGCCTCTGGCCTGCAGGCAGGGCCTTCAGTCCACTAACGCCGTCCGTGGTCTCAGCAGCAGTGGAGAATTACGAAGTGGAGCTGGTGTGTACTTACAGTACTTTGTTCTGAAGGACTTCCCAGGAGTGAAACCTCAGAAGGGATGCAGGAAACTTACAAGTCGTGGGGAAACATTTAACGCTTTAGTCTGTCTGCCCTGAACAAACATGCTGCAGTCCGCCAGGTTACAAACTGGGTTTTATTTATTTTTGTGTTTGCGCGTGTATTTCTGTGCAGTGACCAGACTGCCAGCACTAATTCGGCCACGGCTACATGCCAGGGCTTCTCAGAAAGGGCGAAGTCTCCTTTTCTGGCCCCAGCTGAGCCCAGCCTCCTTCCTGCTGCTGAGACGCAATGTCATGGCGGAGACCATTCAGGCATTTTGCTTCCTTCTGCTTGACAGTGAGGTTTTACAATGTCTTTACCGGTGTTTTTTGGTTGTATAGTCGTGGTGTAGTGTGGTTAATGGACACATTCTGCCTTTGGCAGCCGTGAAACAAACCGCAGATCTGCTCCAAGAGAGATTCCCTGCCTCTGCCCACAAGTCATTTATTGTAGAACTGTGAGGAGACCCAGGCCAGGCCCCACTTCAGGTTGGTGAGCATGAACTTGAGCGCCTTCGTCCACTGCTCCTCGGAGTTGAACTGCGTCTTAATGGAGTACGACCCCCCGCTCCCGCCTGTGTCTTCAATCTTGCCCTTCTCGACATCCATTCTGCAATAGAGAAACACAGACTGGGTCAGGCTTCTAAACTGAAAGGGCAAGCAGCTGATCTTGGAGCAGAGGTCCATCGGTGGCTATTAGCCACAAGGTATAGATAGGGGCTCTGGGGCAAGTGATGCTCTGTCTTCTTGGTGCTTGGGGGGGGGGTCAACAGTGGGAGGGCTTCTAA